ATCTGCAAAACTGACGAAGTGGCAACCATCTAAAGAAGGAGAAATCAGCTGACACGGAAAAATCTAAATTCCGCAGATTTCTGCGCTACGGGCTACAACTACAGAAAAATTCTGCGGTGTTGAGTTTTCATTTACATGGCGCTTTGGTAAGACAGATCGTGTCAGCTGACTCGGGTTTACGTACCGGTAGGTTTACGTTCTTGACTAATTTCAGCTTGACGCAATAACGTCTGTAGTATCGATGTCTTCGAAGTATCGACCTGGAGATATCGATTCAAAAAATCATTTATCGCACCATGAAATATCGATATTCAGAAAAATCGATACGATATCGAGCATTCCTAGCTTGAACCAAAAAGACAAGATCACGACAGCAGAAGAGTGGCCCGTTATAATCGCACTTATGAAAAAAGTAGGGCGATTTTGACATAAGCCGTTTGTTTACATTTGTTCGTTGTTTACAATTTGGTGGTGGCTTTTTACTGCAATTTTCTTAATTTTCGCTTGTGACAACGTGTGCACACATAAGGTAAAGAATAATTTAACACAACGACATGATTTATAGGAGAATTTGCATAATACAAATGATTATTCATGCGTTCAACAATTACGCGTTTTTTTTTGTTCTCTTCGTTGTTTACTTCTTACAACAAAGATGGCGTCGAGATTTCAACAGCTAGAAAATAACTTTTTTCTTTCTTTCCTTAAGGCGTGATCTTGTGTCTTTCGTTCATGATTCCTAGTGTAAAGCTTGCTATACAGTTCAAAGCGACCGTGAACGTTCGCAAAGGCAAAGAATTCCATTTGTATTCTTATGGACGCTCACACGTATCTGTCCAAACTTATCGTTTACATGCGAATGCTTTACGTACTCACACAGTTGAGTATGGACTTGAATAAAAAGGCATATAATGCCTTTTAAATTAGTTTTATTCTATAATTCTCTATTTTTTGATGTATCAACTTTTGCTAAAGATAAGAAAAACGAAGACTTTAATCAAAATTAAGACCTCACGGTTAACTGCTAATTTTTTAACTTCATCAGTGCACGAACGGATAAACGCAATCCCGTAGAAAATAAACGTATCCATTTTTATGGTGTACAATCATTTCTGTCGACTAAAATGAAAATTATCGATTTTGATTAATTTTAACCATTGCAAATGTAACAAGGTCATTATTGTGTGTGCAGGTGCTTTATTTTTTGTTTATAGTAAAAAATGCGGAGTTTTACGCCAGTCACCCACACGCTGAGCTTTCCAGAGCAATTGGAATGCTTTGAATTCTGTGGCAGTGATTTCGCCTGTAATTTGATAGCACTTGGAAGCAATAAAAAGATTATTCTTGGTATCATAAGTTTGCCGGTAAAAGTTACAGATGCTGCATATGCAGAATGGTCCTATAGCATCACTACACAATATATATTTTTATAGGAAGAAGCTGGTTGTTTTGATTGGAAGCATTTAAAAGACTTATACCACGAGAGTCGCTGTGTGTCACTTTGCTTTTCCCCAGAAACTTCGCTGGCGGGGGTGCCAAAATCGGTTATGTTTTGCGCAGCTGGTTCCGATTTCCGCTTGCGTATATTCCGTACAGACTTGCAGAACTCTGACACTGTTCAAGTACTCAATGGTTTGCACGATATAAACACCAGCAATGTACAATTAACAGCATAGCTTCTTTTCAGGCCATACAAACTATATCAACGAAGTTGTATGGGACTGCAATGGCGAGTTTCTGACATCTGTCGGCGACGATAATACTTGTCGTATCTGGGATGCCAAAGATAATTTTGAAAATACCGTAACATTTCATTTGCAATCAGCTGGCATGTCTGTAAAGTGCCACCCAGAGGAACCGCGCAAAGTACTTGTGGCCGAGAAAAGGGGTGTCATACATTTGTACAATGTGCAGACACAGACGGCGATTATATCGGTTGAAGCGCAAAAGTTTCCGCTCAGATCAGTCGATTGGTGTCCGCTGAACCGCATGTGCATTACCGCACTTGTAGCGGGCGATATAATTACTTGGGATCTACGACGCCCCACACCCATCGATATAAAGCAAGTACATGAAGACGGTGGGCAAATAGTGCGCATAGCACCCAATGCAGAGACAGTAATAGCCAGTGTTGGTCGACCGGATATTGCAGTTAAAGTTTTCACTGCTAAATCAAGAATACCACAAGTTGATGCCGCGCTCAAGCTGTACGGTGGCTTGTCCTGGCACCATCGCTTACCCTACATTGGTGTGGCTACAGATCGAAAGTTATGTCTATGGAAATTACAAATTAAATAAACCGAAGAACTCGTTCTATTGCCAACCTTTTTTGTTTTTATTTATTAAATATCAAAATTTTATTGCATTACTATAAGAAAAAAATTAATTTAATTGCCGTTAGTTGTTGACGACAGGTACTCTTTATACCGCGCTTCTTGTTGCTGCTGCAGCTTAGTTAGCTTCTTAAGCAGGCCTTTACTTATCTCTTTGCCATCGACATCGTGCGTAGGTAACCCCTGTAAAATGTAGAGTGAACTTTAGTAGCTTAAAAGTTCAATCAGCAAGTCACTTTTTAAATTTTATGCACTTACATTTTCATCAAATTGTGAGTATTTGTCTTTTTCATTAAAGAACATCTCCTTGGGACTAATTCTTTTTTGCGCTTCTTTGGCAGCCGTCTGCTTCGCAGCAGCTTCCTGTTTGCGTTGCTTCTCAGCTAGGCGCTCTGCCTCAGCAGCTTTTTTCGCTTCACGTTCCTTCAGCAATACTTCTCGATCCACCAACTTGACAGCATATTTTCCATTTTCTTTATCCTCAAGACGCACGCCCAAATTAGGTAGAACGTCATCCCGCAACTTGTCGCACATTTCTAAAATAGCATTCGCTTTTATGGTTTTCGCTTCCTCGCGGACATTATTTCGGAATTCGGCTACCGCATCTACATATGGTAACAATGTGGTTTCGATGTCCACATTACTATCGCCTGCACCAACGGGAAAACCTATGCCACCACGGGGCCCTTGAATAGCGCCGAATATGTGCAAAATATCCGTTATATACTCGGCAATGCGACGAAGTAAAATACAATTCAAGCGATCTTTATTGTCTCTCATATACACATTGGTAAAGGAAACTAACTCTCGCAGAGCATCTAGCGCGCTGCGAGTGTCAATGTTGTCTGCGAAAAAATGTATGTAAGGTAGACCGATATACGACTACAAACTAGGTTTATATACAGAGCCCGTATCTTACCACATAAGGCCTCATGTACTGCATCACGCGTTAGCTTATGTTTTTCTTGCAAGGCAGCCTCGGCACTTGTCCATGCGCTAAACTCTGAACCTGCTGGACCAGTTTGTATATGTCGAGTTAAATCTTTTATATTTAAAAAGAATTCCTAGAACGAAAAGTAATATTTAATTTTAAAAAATTCGAAGGGTAAAAAACGCACTACAAACATTCATAAATCGCTCATATTGACAGGCCATATCCATCGTGTTGCTGGAGTAATCAAGAGTATCTTTCCAGGAGTGTAGAAGAAATGCAAGCCGTAATTGACAAGGGGTGTTTTTCTTCAATGCCTCTTGTATCGTAATGAAATTTTTTAATGATTTTGACATTTTGCACCCAGCAATGGTCAAGTGACCCGTGTGCAGGAAATATTTAACCCATTCCGATTGATTAAATGCTGCTTCCGATTGCGCCAATTCGTTGTCATGATGGGGGAATTTTAGATCCACACCACCAGTGTGAATATCAAACATTGGTCCAAATATATCAGAAGCCATAGCTGAACACTCGATATGCCAGCCTGGACGTCCTCTACCCCAAGGACTTTCCCATGATGGTTCTCCAGCTTTGCTAGTTTTCCACAGTGCAAAATCGTTTGGTGAGCGCTTTTCAGAGAGCCTATCTGCCGCAATAGATAAGTCACCCTCGCCTTCCTGCAGTGACTTGGTATCGCCATATGCCTCTGGTACAAGTTTTGCATAATGATGCTTCTCTTGCTTGTCAAAAGCATTCACATCAAAGTATACGGAGCCATTTGCTTCGTATGCAAGTTTATTATCAAAGATTTGTTCAATGAATTTGATAATCTGCGGCACGTATTCTGATACACGTGTAAGTACATCTGGCGGTAATATCTGTTAAAGTGCTTATATTAGAAAAGTTTTTCGTACAGTAACAAGAATACCTTACGTTGAGCGCCTGCATATCTCTGTGGTATTCGCCCTCAAAATAACGTGGCAGTGTTTCAAATATTGAATTTTCAGTAATTTTCGAGCCTTCTTTGCGATCCAGCCACTCGGCTATGGGCTCTTTTGACTCCTTCAAATACAGTGAGCGCGCTTCATCAATTTTTTCTGGATCATTGCTGGCCACAGCCATAATAAGCGTTTCCGTTGCTTCATTCATTCTTATAAGCATTCGTTCATACATAATTTTCTTGTCATGATCAGTCGTTCCACGGCAGATAGCGTTGAATTGCTTCAAAACCTCCGTTTGGTCCACTAACAATTTATCCAGTGGTATCGAAGAGGCTGTGCTCACATAACGTTCATAGAGATAATTTTGTCGTGCACGTTTAATGATCTTGTCATCAATATCAGTAATATTCATAACATAAAAAATATTATAACCGAAATAGTTAGAGAGGATACGCCGCAGAATATCGAAAGAAATGTACGACCTAAATTAAATAAAGAAGGTAGTGCATTACAATATAGATAAGGTGCAATGTTTTATGTACATATACGTACATACACGGCGTGACGAAAGCAAGTGGTGAACGTGGCACTAACGTTATATGTACATAGTTTACCTTGCATGTCCCATGTGTGATACATCATATACGGTTGGGCCGCAACTATACCAAGTTACATTATTGCCATCCAGTGGGACAAACACCTCCTTTTGCCTTGTAAAGCTGTTGAACAGTCGCAATTTCGGACGCTCCTTTGCGGCCGGTGGACTCCAATCAGGTTGAGCTCGTTTTGCCATGTTTAATGGAATGCAGCTACGGAAAATATTTTTTCTAAATGAATTTTAATTTAGGTTTATTAGAACGTACGATTTATCTATTTTAGTCACCAACTTACAACGTGTGGCAAGAAATTGCACCAGCCAGATACTCCAAACAGGGCTGCCAACTTTCTTAGCTATGAAGTGCCTTATTGATGATGAGAAAGTACCAAAATGTGCCAAATAGAAATATAGAAGTTCAAAAAGGTGTCATTCTTTTTATTCTTCCCATTCAGCATTCAAATTAAAATCACATTCCTAAAACAAAATTCCAATGCCAAAGTAAGATAAACCAGTTGCGAGCAATATAGAAATTATAAAATTTTAGTTGAGAAAAAGAAGTACTCGCAGAACATTTCACAAAAATGTATTGCCAAATTGAAAAATTAAGTGCCATATGAAGTAAAATAGGGCCAAAACTGGCCATGAACCAAAAATACAAGATCACATCTTATTCTTAGTAGCCCGTTATAATCGCATTTAGGAAAAAAGTTGGGCGACTTTGACATTAGCCGTTTATTTACATTTGTTCGTTGTTTACAATTTGGTGGTGGCTTTTTACTGCAATTTTCTTAATTTTCGCTTGTGTGCACACATAAGCTAAAGAATAATTTAACACGACATGATTTATAGAAGAATTTGCATAATAAAAATGATTATTCATGCGTTCAACAATTACGCGGTTTCTTTTGTTCTCTTCGTTGTTTACCTTCTTACAACAATGATGGCAACGAGGTTTCAACAGCTAGAAAATGACTTTTTTCTTTCGGGAAGGCGTGATCTCGTCTCTTTCGTTCATGAAAACTGGCGCGGTTTGAGCGAAGCTGGCAGCCCTGACTATAAATTGGACAGCTACGCCAATAGGAAAATGTACACGGAACGAAAATAAGGCAAGAACTTACCAAAATTATCGATTAAAATAAGAACTTTTACTATACATATAATAGAAATAGTCAGAAGAAGTCCGAAGTAGTCAGATTTAGTCCAAAAAGCGTTCCTTAACTCGGAAATGACAGCAAAAATGAGAGAGCAACACTCGGTGAGAGTGACTCTCATTAGTCCGAAGTAGTCAGATTTACTCATGAACCAAAAAGACAAGATCACGACAGCAGAAGAGTGGCCCGTTATAATCGCACTTATGAAAAAAGTAGGGCGATTTTGACATAAGCCGTTTGTTTACATTTGTTCGTTGTTTACAATTTGGTGGTGGCTTTTTACTGCAATTTTCTTAATTTTCGCTTGTGACAACGTGTGCACACATAAGGTAAAGAATAATTTAACACAACGACATGATTTATAGGAGAATTTGCATAATAAAAATGATTATTCATGCGTTCAACAATTACGCGTTTTTTTTTTGTTCTCTTCGTTGTTTACTTCTTACAACAAAGATGGCGTCGAGATTTCAACAGCTAGAAAATTACTTTTTTCTTTCTTTCCTTAAGGCGTGATCTTGTGTCTTTCGTTCATGAGATTTAGTCAGAAGAATTTTTTCTGGCAAAATCCTGAAAAGTGTCAAACTCGACTGAATTTAAATTAACGGAGATTAAAGAATACGCAAAAAGTGAGAATAATCTAAAAAGTAAAAAAAGTGAATTGAAATTGGAAGGAGGCAAAAAATAATTGATATAGAAAGTGTTTATTGTGCTTGTGCTTGTGTGAAGGTGTTTTGTACATACATTTACATTCTTATTTGACGTTGTTGCCATTCTTTGGACTAAAAATTTGGTTTTTTGCGTTCCTTTACTTTTCCTGTTATTCTCTTTTAGTGAGCGCATTTTGCTTACGCTCTGACATTTTGACACTTTTCAGATTTTAGTCCAAAAAGATAAGGAATGAACCTATTTTCATTCGTTTTTAAAGTTTACCTGGATCCATGCATGATAAAAATATACAAGGCAAAACCATTGAGAGGCAGTTTGAACATTTTTGACGTTTGCAAACCATTTAGTCTCACACTCTCATTTTGTCTGATTGTTTTGCTTTTGTTTTTCCGTTCAAATCAAAAAAATATTAATAATTTTTTAGACATTCAATCTTGTTTATGCTCATAAAAATTCGTACATATGTATGTGTGAAATTAAAGGTCCTAAAATAGCATTTAATGCTAACAGGTTTGTATGTTTGTTGAAATTGTAAATGACCATAAATACCGCCGGAGTCCCTTGATTACAGATAAACAACTAATGCTTCAATCCAATACTCGCCGGTGGCAGGAACTGAATCGTCTGGATACAATCAATGAATTGCTTTTTCAGAGTTCCTTTACGCTATATTCAAATAAATATATGGACACATGTGCACGTGGATGATAAAATATTTAATTTTTGTATCATGTGCATATGCGTAAAGAGCAGTGTCGTTCGGGAAATAAGACAATTATTTTAAACTTTTTATGTAATGATTTTCTTCATTTTTTTGTTGCATTTTTCTCGATTTTCAGGTTTTTTCAGATATCTTATTTTAAAAAAAGTTCTTCCAACAAAAAATCGTTTTTTTACGTGTTCATCAATTTGTACGTGTTTCGAAAGTTTTAAGAGATTGCTCAAATAATGCGGGTTAGTATTTCATTTATCGCTATTGTACTTTACAAATATTTGGTTTAGATTTTCTAAAATGGCCATAAAACTATTGTTAAATTCAGAGGTTAGATCCCACGCCCAAAGTCTCAAAACGCATGTATTGTTGTGTAACGTTTGAAATATCTGCGGATTCATTTTATTCCTTGAGTTTAGCTTCAAATACATATATACACTATGTACTTACTTTAGTATTTAGAAGGATCTATCCTGATTTAATTTACAAATTTCGATTTAAAGCAAGTTGAAAAGGTCAATCTCATTTGGCGGTGAAAATCAAAAACAAAATGTCAAAAACGGGAAACGTCCCCAAACAATTTTCAATCAAGCAACTGCGGTGTTGCCGTATTTTTGTCAACACTCCCCCCCGGTATATCCTCCGGATTTACCCGTTCCTGCGGAGCAACAATAGAAATAACGGCAAGTCGCGTGGCTGGTCTCTCATATATGCCGGTGCTAGTCTTTACCACGGCGCTTCTAACTTGTTTATCAGAGCCTACCCTTACTGAAATTACTCGACCCTTCGGCCAAGAGTTTCTGGGTCCATTGGGTTCCACTATGTACACGATGTCTCCTTGCTCAATCGGTTTTACGGCCTCGAACCACTTAGTGCGGCGCGTTATCACCGGCAGATACTCGCGCAACCAGCGCTTCCAAAACGAGTCGGCTAATTGTTGTGCATATATCCAGCCCTTTCTCATTGGTTCTGGCCTTCCGGTATGCTCGCTTAGCGGTTTCATCCCGTTGGAACTGCCCAAGAGGAAATGATTTGGAGTGAGTGCTTCGTCTCCGCAGTGGTCGAGCGGTATGTAAGTCAACGGTCGTGAGTTTATGATCGATTCAACCTCCATAAATGCGCCGCGGAGTAATTCGTCGGAGGGACGTGATGATAGCAATACCCTCGATAGGTTGTCCTTCACTGAGCGCACGAGGCGCTCCCAGGCACCGCCCATATGCGGTGAGGCAGGTGGTATGAACTTCCACTGCATAGACGAATTCGTAAAAGTACTCTGCAGCTTTTCCTTGTCTATTTCTCTGAAGGCAGCGGTGATTTCTCGCTGAGTTGCTTTAAAATTAGTGGCGTTGTCGCTCCAGAACTCGAACGGTACCCCTCGTCGGGCCATAAAACTTCGAACAGTGAGAATGCACGAATCCATAGACAGCGAATAAGCTATTTCTAGGTGCACGGCTCTCGTCGTGAGGCAGGTGAAGAGCACGCCATACCTCTTCTCAGTACTCCTACGTACCGCCACTAGTAGAGGACCGAAGTAATCTACCCCACGTATGTGAACGGACGTACGAATGCTGTTACTCGTGCCGGGGGTAGGCTGCTCATTTTCGGTGGACGTGGTTTTGCATTGCGAAGTTGACATACTTGACATTCACGACGTACCTTGTTGACCACTGCTCGTAGTCGAGGTATGTAGAAATGTTGCCGTAATTCATTTACCATTGTCTCTGCGCTGCCGTGGAGATACTTGATGTGGTAGTCCAGAATAATCAGGCGAGTTATGTTATGGTTTCTAGGCAATATAACTGGATCCAGATGCCCTACGCCTTTATGTTATATGTACATTTATTTAAATAGATATCTCGTAAATATAATTTTTTCCAATTTAGTGAGGTAGTTTCTATAATTTCTTTATCACCGTGCTAGTAGTATAAAGTTAGTGACACTGCGCTTTATAACCAAAGAAAACATGACTATTGTCGCATGTGTAAACGAAAAGAGAGTGTGGGTCGTTCATGTAACAGAGTGCATAAACTTATAAGATTATCTGCTTGATAAAGTTATCGGTTTAGATGAATACCACAGCAGACAATTTTCTGCAAACAAAAACTCACTTCCCAAAGCTACGACCG